ATCCTGATGCTGCCAATTGGTCCAGTGGTGAGAATCTTTGTCTTCTTGACATTGAGTCTCAATCCATATTGTAGGCTGCAGTCCTTGGCCCTCTGCAGCAGGTGCTTCAGGTCCTCTTCAGTTTCAGCAAGCAGGGTTGTGTCATCTGCATAACACAGATTGTTGATAAATCGTCCACCAATCTTGACCCCACATTTCTCCTCATAGAGCCCAGCCTCCTGGATTCTGGAAGGATGTATGTCTGGTTGTTTTAGTCAATTTGTATGTTGAGCAAATTATCTGAGAAGTAGGACCGTATGTGGAAGAACCCATCAGAATTGAAGAAGACTTAGTAACAATTTATGATAAGCAGAGGATGCACACAACCTTGCTTGAAAAAAAGTAACTTGAAGTGTTTCTGGAAGAAGATGAGAAACTGCAGCCTTCACCATGGATTACACTTCACCACAAAGAAAAGAAGACCCTCTGAACTCAACCAGGAGGAACATGATGCTAGATGGATAAAAGACTCAAGTTGACAAGGACTTAATTTTGCTTAGATCCACAAGAAAGAAGTTTACACACACACACACACACACACACACACACACACACGCCCCTCAGTCAACATATTGCATTAGACAAAGCAGCTTAAAAAAGTCCTCTTTCAAATGTTTGAGTGAAGAGGTCACTTTGAGTTCTAAAGAACACCTGACCCAAACCATAGGCTTTTCAGTTGTTTCATATGCATGTGAAATAAGGAAGAGTTAAGAAGGAACAATGAAGAAGAATTGATGCCTTTGAAGGGTGCTGTGGGCAGAGTGCTGAATATTTCATGGGCTGCCTCAATAGCAAACAAATGCTTCTTGGAAGAACTATGTCAGGAATACTCATTAGGGGGGAAATGGAGAGACTTTGTTTCACAGGCTGTTGAACCTATTATCAGAGGGACCAGTCTCTGGAGAGAACGAGAAGACTCCCAGTGAGGTGGATTGCAAGGTCAGTGTCTCCACGGGGCTCACACATGGCCATGGCATGGACATGGGACCAGCCAGTGTTTGCTCTGTTGTAGGCGGAGCTGATGTGAGTTGGAGCCCACTCCAGACTATGTAACAACAGCAACAAATTTATCAGTAGACAAGTTTAAGGTTTCATCAAACTATGATTAATTTCAGATGGGTTTAATGCTTAATTGCTCTTTTCATTCTTTTATAAAGAAAGATTACTATCAATTTAAGAGAAAACTCTAAGTAGTTAAGAGGTCGTTTAGTGATTGGTAGTAAATTTTCAGCTGTACACCCCAACATCCGAAGTTGTTAAGCCAACGAGCCATTCACCTATGTTTATAAAAAAAGTTATTAAATATTATGTGTATTCTTTAGTTAAATTATTATAAGGAAATTTTAGAAATTTAAGGTTAAAATTGTAATTTAAAAATTTCCTAGGCTTTTCTTTGATCCAGGTGATCAGTAGAGACACATATTTCTCCTGCATAGAAATGATTATGCAAAGTTAGTAAAACATATAGAATTGACCTGCATTTTAAAAAACAGTGTGTGGGAGAGTATTGGAAAAGTTAGTGTATTTATAGCCGCCTAAATCCACCAATGCAAGGTTTCATTATCAATATAACGTGTTCTCTAGGTTATTTTCCTTTGCTGAGGCAAATAACCTTGTTTTAAAACAAAAGGTTTCTACTTTTTAAAAAAAGAATAAAAGCTCTTCAGTCTTGCAAATGTTGAACTATAGGCATGTTAATTGCGTTGGCATCTTCTTGCTGTTAACTTACCTTAGTTTTCTTTTAGATCTTACTATTTCCAAGATAGGCTGATGATTGCTAAGGGGGGAAATGAGAAAACGCATTGCTGGCAGGCAGAGTCCAGCAATGGTTAGAAGCCCTTGGTGGTTCAGCGTTGAGTACTTGAACTGCTGGCGGAAAAGGCTGCTCCCTCCCAGATATTGGTGCCTGGGGGCTGAAATCGCCTCCGTGGCGGAGGTAAAAAGGGCAGTGAGCTCCTGGAATCAGCAAGGATCAAGAATTTCGGCTCTGTTCGAATCGTACTCGAACTTGCAAAAAACTTGGAGCAAACTTTACGCATCATTTGCTACATTAAGAGTATGTGTATTTTCTCATATAACGCTTACAAAATAACGAGAACTTGTTTATTGACACAGTCTTCTTCCTTTTCTGATGTATCCCTGGAGAAGTCAAAGGCGAGGGGAAAGAGGCCCCAAGAAATGCATTCAAAAGGCGTTGCAGCACCTGAACTCTGAGGTAAGTTAAGTTTACCTTTGCCTGTTTCCGGATGTGAACATTGGACTCTCAGTGTTCGGTGAGCCAGGGGCAAGTGGCTCCACACCGGACATGTTAACACTAACTAACCCTCGGAGGACCTCCAGGGAGCGCCACCGGAGACTAGGGAACACTGTCTCCAGCTGCCTCCTCCCCCCTGACCTTCTCTGTCCTGGAAATGTGGCTCCTCCAAGCAGGACATTGGCGCAAACAACGATGACAAATGGAAAGGAAATTGATTCCGGTGAAAGGGTTATGACATTCCGAAAGCCTGTCCCTGACTGAAGTGCCCAGGACAAATATTTGCTTTTTCTCACCCCACCCTGCTTGCCAGAAAAATGGGTTATTGTCAAGGAAATGCTTAATGTAACCAATCAGTTTAGTAACTCCAAAAATGTAACTGTTGACACGGGAATGGCAAGGAGAAACAGATGGACTACAAAAGACAATGAACATTTCGATGAGGAAGAAATAGGTCTTTAATGAATCATAGCTGGCGGCCCCCTTGACTTTTCTGCAGGATTCCTGTCCGCAGCGGCGCAAATCCTTGACTCAGAGCCGAAGCAACAAGTGAGCGGGCTGCGCAGCGAGCGCGCCTCTCCGGAGACGCTCCCACGCAGACGCGCGTCCGGCTCCTGTGCTGGGGGAAAAGGAAGGGCTGTAGCAACGCCCCCTTTCAAAGAGGTAAGAGTCATCAGAATCATCTCCTTGTTTTAAGGATTGCGACCCAGTGCGTTCCAGGACTGGTACCTGGCACACAGGACACTCAGAATGCATCCAGGGATCTAGGAAACTTTGTGGACTTTTGCCGGAGCAGCGAGAGAGGCGCACAATGTCGCTGGCAGGCAATCCTCTCGGTCTGGTGCAAATGCACAGCTACCCTTTGCCATTCAAGAGGCCTTTGGGGGAGAGTCCAGAAACACACTGACTAGGGGAGAGCTTGGAGTGTGCTTCCAAGGAAAGTAAAATGAAAACAAACACCTGAGACTTGGCCTCTCAGGGAGGACTTGCTGGGCGGGCATCTTGCGCTCATAAGCGGGCACAGCTGGGCTCTGGGCCAGCGCCTTGCGCGCTCCAGTGACCACAGTGCCCTTCGCCAGGGCTGGACTTTGCACGCACGCTCCAGTTGCAAGGAACCTAAATCAAGTCCAGGGGCCAACCATAAGTAGCCTGCCCTTCCTGCTGTCCCGCATTCAGCCCTGCAGGCTGTGGACACCAGCGCCAATGAACTTCCTCAGACTCCTGGCGGCGCCTTGTTAGGAGCGGCCATCTGGCAGCAGATGTCGCTCCTGTGGCAACTTTCTGGACTCCCACCTGGGACGAACAGCCTGGGACAGCTGCAGAAGGTGACACTGCCCTGTATGCCGGGCTCGGACCCTCTCCCTACCTCCTGCGTCCTCACTAGCTGCCTTAGCGCATAACTAGCAAAAGGCTCTGCAGTTATTTTCAGAGGACATTTGCAAAGAAAATGCAGGAGAATTGCTTTCCCAAACTTTATTTTATTGTAACCAGTATGCATTTATGGAAATTCCAGCCCCATGTCCACGTGTGAAGCCTGAAGCCAGGCGCTTCCTCCTTTCCTGGAGGAACCCTCACCCTGGCTGGGCGCGTCTGTGCTAAGGAGTCACACACCGCTGGCGCTGCAGCAGGTTTCCGGGATCAGAACCAAAAATGCCAGACCCAGGCTGACCATCCTGCCACTAGCAGCCATTTGGCACGTCCGCGGGCCTGGGCGCGCGGTCCCCTGGGCCACACAGGTGCGAGTCCGCATATCTCCCGCACGCAGAGGCGCGCGTCATGTGCGGCAGCGCGGGGGGCACGGGGGCGCCGCGGGGGCTCTTTCTGCCACCGCCGCCCGCGGAAGCCACACTGTACCAGCCACCCTGGCCGCTTCCCAATGTCGCCCCGGCCCAAGCCAGAGCGCCCCCACCCCCGGGAGGGTCACAGCCTCTCCCAGTCGCTCTGGCCGGTCGGCGGCGACGCTGTGCGCGGAAGCAAGGCACGGGGACCCCTAGAAGCTCCGCGGAGTGCGACTGGGCTGGCGCACCGGCCCGCCCCTCGCAAGCAGCCGCC